CCCCGCCGCCGCCGCCGCCGCGGCCGCTCGCCCTTCTCCCGGCCCTCGGAACCTCAGATCGTCTCGGATTCTTCCTCAGGAGCTTCAAGGTAACTTCGTCCCTCCGGCACCGCGGCTCGCCCGCTTCCCTTCCTCTTCCGAGCAGCCCGCGGGCACCGCACCGGGGAGGGCCCGGCCCGGGCGGCGAGCGGGGCGGCGGGTGGGTGCGCGCCCCCAGATGCTTCTGGCGAGCCCTCTGCTGCGTTTGGTCTCCCTCTTCCCGTTCCTCACCTTCCGGGATCCGAGGGGTTTCTTGTCCCCCTTAGCCGCGGGGAAGCGGGGCTTTGGAGTAGCGGCGAGCTCCTCCGGGTCCGGGTGTAGGTAAGTATCCTTCCACACACCACTTCCCTGCCCTCCACCCCCGGATTGTCGGAGCCCCAGAAACACCCGCTGCCCCCTGCTTAGCGGGTGTTAAAGCCCCGGGCTCTGGCCCAGGTGAAACCTGTCTCCGCGGGCTTTGCTGCCTATGTTCAGTTTTGCGATGGTTTAGGGTTGAGATTCTTGACGTTTATTCTGGACTGCAGGTGTAAGGGCCAGATGATTTAAAAAAAAAAAAAAAAAAAAAAAGCTACTTACAGATCGTCGTTGGAGATGGCTGATGAGGATTGTAAAAGAGACAAAAAGATCAGGATTTATTGAAATTTGTTAGGGTTAGAATGAGGTCTAAATAATTCACGGACGAGATTGTAAAATCCTCCCCTAAATTTGCGACATACAAATATGTTGTGGAATTTCTTGCTGATGCAGTCATCCTATTTTAAAGTGGTTTTCCGTAGTGTTTATAGTTTGCAGTTCCAGTTTGAATTTGTCACATTGTTATTATTTTTATTTTTTTGAGACAAGGTCTTGCTGTGTAGCTCAGGTGGCCTTGAGCTCACTGTGCAACCCAGGCTGGCCTCAATCTCACCGTGATCCTCCTGTTTCAGCCTCCCTAGTGCTGGGTTTCCAGCCGTGTGCCACCATACCAGGCTCATCATATTACTGTATTTTTAAGGCTAAATTAGGTAGATTAAAAAACTTTTCAGGGCCTGGGGATTTAGCTCAGCGGCACAGCGCCTGCCTGGCAAGCGCGAGGTCTTGAGTTCGATTCCCTGTACCAGGAAAAAAAAAAACAAACAAACCAGAAAAACAAAACAGAACAAAAAAACTTTTCATTGAAAGAAAACCGAAAACCTAAAAATTCCTAACCTCAATGAACTAGGAGCTTCACACATAGTATTTCTCCACTTCCACCTCGAGTGTTTTTACTACTTTTACTTTGGCAGAATCAAGATAATTCAGGGAACTTTTTAGTCTTACACATTCAGGAAGAAGCTCCCTTACACTTTCATAGATGAGTTAAAAAACTTGTCTCATGTATTAGAGTGACAGGTGAGTGATTGCATTTCATCGTTTCCCCTGTATGTGATATTTCTTTTTTTGTTGTTTTGTTTTGTTTTTCCGGTACTGGGAATCAAGCTCACAACCTTGCGCTTGCCAGGCGTACCATATCACATACCCCTGTATGAGATATTTCTATCGGAGTCTGCCATTTATCTTACGCGGTGTCTCAAAAGCCCCGGAAGTGGTGGCAGCCACTTACTTGGTGAATGGAATTGAGCTTGCTGCTTGTTGCTTTGGGGAAATAGCTTTATTTCAATAATTTGAGAGGGTTGAAAATTGCAAAACACCGTTCACTTCCATCAGTTTGATGGAATGAAAATTATTTGAACTTCAAGATCTAAACCTCAAGGAAACTCCATTTGGTTGTCTAAGGTTATGAAGTTATATTTCAGTTCATCTTGGTGCTGGGTTTCGTCAGAGTTTTGTTTATTAAGCTTTAATCATTTAAGATGGCTTCATTCAAAAAGAAAACTTCTTTGAAATGATTTTAATGGTCCCTTTTGTGTGTTCTGTTTAATCTCCCCTGTCTTCATTTGCAGTGTGGGGGTTTGTCGTTTCAAACGCAGCACATTTCATTAAGAGTCCTGCTCAGACAGTTTCAGTAACTGTGCATTTCACCTTGTGTGATATATTGGTGTAGATTCTTACAGTACAGTAAGAGTTTCACTTCTAGAATCCATTCATAATGCTAAATATTTTGCGAAAAGTGTCTCCATGGAAGTTTTCCAGTTACAGAATAGCTCCAAAATTACTTCTAGAATCAAGATGAAAAGAGTTTTGCAGTTAAAATGGGTAGACAGCACAGAAAGTTCAAATCTAGATGAACATCATTTAATGCTTATCAACATGGAGTAGTATAATAGAGATGCAAAGCTGCTTACGTGATAGTAATATTTTTTCCATCAAATTTTCCTGTTTTCCCATTGACTTAAGACCTTCTTTAGTTGATTTTGTTGCCTTTCTTTGGCACATGCTTGCATGTTCATTAGTAGTACATTTGGGACATTGAGAATTGTGTAACTAGACATTCATGCTTGCACTGTGGGAACGAACGTGTTTCTGACACCTCTTTCTCTTCAGTAGGGATATGTCCTCAGCACCAACTACTCCTCCATCAGTGGATAAAGTAGACGGATTTTCTCGGAAGTCCGTCAGAAAAGCCAGACAGAAGAGGTCACAAAGTTCCTCACAGTTTAGGTCTCAAGGCAAGCCTATTGAGTTAACACCTCTGCCACTGCTGAAAGGTAAGGCTCCTGACCTGCTCCTCTCTTTTTCAGTGAATGTTCCAATATCTGCATGTAATTTTTTGGGGAGACTTTCCTGTCTGTTCAGGTTCTGTGCTGGAAACTGAGGGGACGGGAGGCTTCACTGAAGTAGTGAGTGACCGGGTGTTCCCCCCGACCTTTCGAAAGGCCTCAGTTTGGGCTGGGAATGTAGCTCAGTGGTAGACGCTTGTGTAGTGTGCATGAGGGCCTAGATTCAGTCCCTGGTACTGGAAAAATAATGGTGAGGTGGGGCTTGATTGGATCTAATGGCTGAGGAGAAGCAAAAAGAACCTAGAGAATTTCTCCTGATAAGTGGAGAAAATAAATGGTAGCAATGTCTAGGTCTGTGGTTTTCTTTTTTTTCCTTTCGATATTTAGGTGGATACGCAGTTTGCAATGACAACTACAAATTGTACTCTTAGGAAGTAGGACGTAGTAAAGGAGACCATACTGATAACTTACACAAAGAAAATGGTGTTTTGAAAGATGCATTTTTAAAAATCAAGAAAACAGGAGCCGGGGATATAGCTCAGGGGCACAGCGCCTGCCTGGCAAGTGTGAGGTCCTGAGTTCAACTTCTGGTACCAAAAAAAACCCCCCAAAAAACAAAAAACATACGGTATAATTGATTACATGCATTCTTATTTTGAGCCAGTACAAACACAAAGTGTATGATGATCATACTTGCTTAGTTTTTTTTTCTTTAGAGTGTATTGAGAGTAAGTTTTTATTATTTATTTAGTTTTTTGGGTTTTTCTCCGGTACTGGGAACCGAACTCACGACCTTGTGCTTGCCAGGCAGGCGCTTTGCCGCTGAGCTAAATCCCCAGCCCCCAAGAGTAAGTTTTTAATGTGAGAACTGTTTCTGCCTGTTTGGGTATGTGGGTTCCTTTTAAATTTTCATCTGCTTGCTTCATGTTTAGGAGGAGACATTGTTTGACGTGTCATTTAGTTAGTGTGGGAAGGGTCAGGCTCTCCCTTTGAAGGTGGAGTTTCGTCTGTTGAGGGTGCAGAGTGGGGAGGAAGGGGACCGTCTCAATAGACTTCAGTTACTCAGAGGAAGCGGGACAGCTGGCTGACGAGTTCATAAATGCACATGGAGTTCTGCAGCACTTTGTGAAGTCAGTAGGTATTTTAAGAAAAACTCAAACGTGACTAGAAAAGATCTTCAAAGTCTAGCATAGGATATTTAAGTTTCTTTTCCTATGTGAACTTTTTTTTAAAGGGAAGGAGAGTCATAAATAAGATTCCAATGTTTAACTACATCAGTGGAAATAATGGTTACTGTAAGGATGGTATGTCTAGCACTTAGTAAAAATGAACTCTTGAGGATTTGACTAAAGATTTTGTTAGAATGAAAATAGCTTGTATGAGGCTTTGGAGGAAAATGAAGGAGAAATGCTAAGTATAAAACTAAGCACACTGGAGGTACAGAGTTAGAAGACAGTAGATTTTTTTGCTATTTATTTATTTATTTATTTATTTACTTAATTATTTATTGGTCTTTTTGAGACAGGGTCTCTCTGTGTAGTTCAGGCTGGCCTTGAGCTCACTTTGTAGCCCAGGCTGGCCTAGAACTCCCAAAGATCCTCCTGCCTCAGCCTCCTGAGTGCTGGGATTGTAGGCCTGCACCACCATGCCTGGCAACAATTTATTTAATCTGAAGTAGACATGTAATAGTTATTAGCATCATACCTGGTGAAAGACATACTGTCTGGGAAGCTTAGATTAAACTTTTTGTGGGATTGGAAGAAATTTTAAAACATTAATTTATAAGCCATGGCAAACACTTAAAACCTGACTAACCACTTACAGCCAGCGTGTTGGTTGTGTGGGTAGTGAAAGGTGTGTTTGAGAATTTGACTGTGTGCTATCACGCTTTGCTGTCCCATTTCTCTTCTTTTATTGTACAAAATAGTCGTACACACAATGTACCATTTTTTTTAAAGAGACAAAAAAAACCCAATAAAAATGATACAGAATTTCAAAACAAGATGGTAGGAAATTAACAGTGGTTATTATATGACATATTATCTTCAAAGTAGTTGCTCCAGTTACCAGGTACGGGCATGCAAAGTTGATGAGACAACAGAAGCACCCTGTTCCTTTCAAGTAGTAGAAATCAGTAGTACAGTTATCTCAGCTAGCTTGTGGACCTTTTTTTTTGAGATGGTCTCACTATGCAGTTCAGGCTGGCCTTGAGCTCACTTTGTAGCCCAGGCTGGTCTTGAACTCCCAGTGATCCTCCTGCCTCAGCCTCCCGAGTGCTGGGATTACAGGCGTGCCCCACCACGCCTGGCTTGTGGACCATTTTTAAGTCTGCATCATGCAGTGCATTCACGTCACTGTGCAGCCGTCTCCACTGTCTGTCTCCAGGAGTTTCCTGTCTTCCCGAATGCACACTCTGCCTGCTTTGTTTTTCTCTTGTCCCCTGGCCACTGCCATTCTGTCTCTGGGAATTTCACTGTGGGTACTGCCGATAAGTGGAGACAGGCTGTATTTGTCCTTTCTGAGTAGCTGATTTCACTTAGCATCCTGTCCTAGGTTCGTCCACATTTAACTGTGTGTCAGAATTCCATTCCTTGTGGCTGAAGAGTGTTTCAGTTTGTGTATGTGCCTGTCTTCATTTATCAGTGGGCGCTGCGTTGCTTCCACCTTTTGGGTATTATAAATAATGCCGCTGTGAACACAGGTGTAAAAGTAATGGTTCTGGTTTCTGCTCTCATTTCTTTTGGGTATATGCCTAGAAGTAGAATTGCTGGATTGTGTGTTTAATTTCTTTTTTTTTTTATCTTTTTGAGACAGGGTCTCACCTTGCAGTTCAGGCTGGCCTTGAACTTAGTTTGTAGCCCAGGCTGGCCTTGAAGTTGCAACGATCCTCCTGCCTCAGCCTCTCCCAGTGCTGGGTGCCACCATGCCCGGTGTGTGTGTGTGTGTGTGTGTGTGTGTGTGTATGTAATTTCTTGAGCAGCCCCACCGTTTTCCACAGTACTTGCACCACATTTCCTCCCCGTTAACAGTGCCCGTGTGTTCTAAGTTCTTCATATCCTCACATTTGGTAATTTTGTTTGTTTCCAAGAACCATTATAATGGTATGGAGTGGTCTTTTGCTGTGGTTTTGATTTACATTTCCCTAATTAGCGATGCTGAGCTTTTTGGATGTGTGCTAGCGGTGTGCATATCATTTTTAAAGGGAAGCCTAGTAGTAGTGAAAGAACTCCACTTGCCAGGAATATCGTTTTTTTGTGAATTTGCATGCTTTGCTAGCAAAGGCGAATTAGAAGGTAAGAGGCCTAGACACATCCACAAGCCTATGCAGACCAACGCAGTGACTGTTGTGTACTGTGCACGTGCTGGGTGGGTATTCTAGAAAGCACTCTTGTTTTTTTTTGTCTTTCTGAGACAGGGTCTCGCTATGCAGTTCAGGCTGGCCTTGAGCTCACTTTGTAGCCCAGGCTGGTGTTGAACTCGCAAGGATTCTCCTGCCTCAGCCTCCCGAGTACTGGGATTACAGGCACGCGCCACCGTGCCCAGCACTTCCAGAAAGCATTCTGTAAATTAGATTTCCATGTCTATCTATGGAATGATATAAAGGACAATAGTCATGTCTAGATAGAGTCCAGAAATGTGTATCTGCTTGATTGTCTGAGTACATGTAAAGAATGTGTGAAATGATGACGTTCATTTTCCATATAGTGGATTGACTTACCTCCTTACAGTGGATTGGCTTATGTGTGTGTTGCATTCTTACCAACTTTTTGGAAGAAAATTACTTACTTATTTAAGTCCTGGACATTGAACCTAGGGTGTTACATAGCTAGCAAAGCTTTCTTCCACTGAGCTACATCCTTAGCCCTTTGGAAGTAATTTATAGAATAAAAAGA